TAAATTCTTTTCTCTTCTTTTTTGGATCTTCAGTGTATAGCAGCCATGCACCTTTATTCGTCCAAGCTACTTTATCTATTGCATCCACTTTTTCTTTTTTTACATCTTTAGAGTTTTCTACTATTTCTAACGTTTTTTTATCTATCTTATAGTAAATCGGGAATGATTTGCTTTGAGATACAAAAGATAGCCCCATAACTCCAATACCTGTTAACTGCCCGCCTCCATAGCCGTAGGCATATATATAATCGTCATCCTGATAGGCAAATTTTGTAGGAAATTCGCTCTTTTTCTTAACCGCTTTCTTATCCATCCATCTTACATTCGGATTTTTGGATTTCAAATATGCATTCGTGGATGTTCCACAGCTATCTAATAGGAAAACCCCAATACAAAAAAATAAAATAGAAATTATTTGCCTCATAATGTTAAAATAATGAGCGCAAAATTAATGTTAATAATTAAATAAGGTCAAAAATTAATCTAAATTGGGTCTTAAAAACTTTCTTACCTCATCGCTTCTCAAATTCTTAGCCTGAGCTATGGCATTTACTTGATCTTCTCCTATTTTACCTATGCCGAAATAGGAAATATCAGGATAAGCAAAATAATATCCACAGACTGATGCAGTAGGAAACATAGCATAGTTCTCAGTCAATTGAATTCCGATCTTTTCTTCTACATCTAAAATAGACCATATAGTGCCTTTTTCACTATGATCAGGACAGGCAGCATAGCCTGGTGCTGGGCGAATACCCTTGTATTTTTCTTGGATTAAATCTTCATTTTTTAGATTTTCCTCTGGGACATAACCCCAGGTTTTTTTTCTCACCTCTTCGTGTAACCATTCTGTGGAGGCTTCTGCAAGTCTATCTGCTACTGCTTTGAGCAATATATCTTTATAATCATCGTGGTCTTTCTTATATCGTTCGAGATAGTCTTCAATATTTAACCCTGCGGTGACGGCAAATAGCCCAATATAATCTCCATTAGGTGAAATATAATCTGTCAGACATTGATTTTTCTGACCTTGAGTCTTCTTGGCTTGCTGACGTAGAAAATGTAATTTGCCGACCTCTTGGCTTCTGTTTTCATCAGCGAATAGAGCTAAACTTTCATTGTCTTTGGTACAAGAATAGAGCCCCGTGATCGTACTGATGGTTAGAATTCTATCCTTCTCCAATTCATCGAGCAGTGCATTGGCATCATCGAATAATTTTTTGGCTTCAATTCCGTATTTTTCATTTTCAAATATTCTGGGATAAGTTCCTTTCAGTTCCCAGCTATTGAAAAATGGACTCCAGTCTATATAGTTTCGCACGAGGCTAATAGGAAGATTTTCATTGATATCTTCTCCTAGATGATTAGGTTTTATTGGTTTATTTTTATCCCAATCGGCCTGAAATGCATTGTTGCGGGCTTCTTCTAGTGATATTAACTCTACTTTTTGGCTTTTCTTTTCATATTCGCTTCTTATATTCTGATAATAAGCTTTTTTCTCAGCAATAAAATTCGACTTTTCAGTACTGACCAACTTGGTAGTAACAGGTACGCTTTTGGAGGCATCTAAGACATGAATAATAGACCCAGAGTAATGAGGTTCTACTTTTACGGCAGTATGTATTTCACTTGTAGTAGCCCCTCCTATAATGATGGGGATTTTTAAACCCTTTTTTTCAAAATCAATAGCAACATCTACCATTTCATCGAGTGAAGGTGTGATTAACCCGCTCAATCCCACGACATCTACATTGTGCTTGATAGCTTCCTCAATAATGCGCTCTTTCGGTACCATGACCCCAAGGTCAATCACTTCAAAGTTATTACATTGAAGAACGATTCCTACTATGTTTTTACCTATATCGTGGACATCCCCTTTGACCGTGGCCATGAGTATTTTTCCTGCAGAGGAAGATTTACCATCTGTTTTTAATAGATAAGGTTCGAGTACAGCTACTGATTTTTTCATAACTCGTGCGGACTTCACTACTTGTGGGAGAAACATTTTCCCGCTTCCAAATAAATCGCCAACGATACCCATAGCGTCCATCAGTGGTCCTTCGATGACTCGAATAGGTTCTTTGTATGCTTCTAGAGCTTCGAGGGTGTCCTCATCTATAAACTCGACTACTCCTTTGATAATAGCGTGGTTGATTCGCTCTTCTATACTTTTCGTGCGCCATTCTAGCACATTGACTTGAACATCTTTTTTGGTGTCTTTCAGTGATTCGGCTTTATCCAGAAGGCGTTCTGTAGCTTCATCGTTTCTATTTAGGAGCACATCTTCGACCAAATTCATCAAATCTTTCGGCACCTCATCATAGACCTCTAGCATAGTGGGATTGACAATACCCATGTCCATACCATGCTGGATAGCGTGGTAGAGAAATGCAGAGTGCATAGCCTCTCGTACAATATTATTTCCTCTAAAAGAGAACGAAACATTGCTCACGCCGCCGCTGACTTTGGCTCCAGGCAGATTTTCTTTTATCCATTTCGTAGCTTTGAAAAAATCTAGGGCATAGTTTTTATGTTCATCTATGCCTGTAGCTA